TGTGTTTGTGTGTTTCTATGCTTGTGTGCTTGTGCGCTTGTGTCCTTGTAGGCCTGTTTCCTTGTGACCTTGTAGGCATGTGCGCTTAAGTCCCTGTGTCCTTGCGTGCCTGAGTAAGATGGTGGATGTATGCTCCTGCGCTGTCGGAGCAACGCCTCCCCCTCTCCCCTCCCTGCTCCTCTATCACCAAGGGCAGACGACTTGCCTGCTGTGAATGCGCTGCGTCTAACTCGCCCCTGGCATCCCCCTTGCCTCGCTCACTTTTTGCCATGTACAGCCGATTCCAGTGGCATTTCTCTGCCTGGGGATGTGCACGTGGTGGCGGCCACCCTGAAGCTTCTGCTGCGCGAGCTGCCGGTTCCCCTGCTGGCGGATGCGACACATGCGGCCCCCTTTGAGGCGGCTGTCGGTACGTGACATGCCTGGTCCACGCCTGCCTGTCCCTGCGTGTCTCCCCCCATGCGTGCGCATGTGTGTGCCTGCGTGTCTGACCTTGGGCCAAAAAAAAAACACCCACCCCTCCTCCGGGGCCGCCTTCGGGGCGCTGGGCCGCACCTGCACACACGCACACAGAGTCTGACCAGCCCCATACGGTGGTTGTGAAGCTCGTGTCTGAGGCGGTGGCCCTCCTGCCTCCGGACCACTTCGACGCGGTGTGCTCGCTGATGGGCCACCTGCACCGGTGCGTGATCCTGCCCTGGGAGAAGAGCTGGCGCGCGCGCTGCCCCACTCTACATATGTCCCACTCCGTCTATTTTTGCCTGCCACATCCCTTCCCCACTCTCTGACACATGGTCTCGATCCGCTGATGGGTGTACGCGTACGCACACACACACACACACACACAGCGTCATCTCCAACAGCAAGACCAACCTCATGACGAGCAGCAACATCTGCACCTGCTTCGCGCCGAACCTCTTTGGCGGGTCACTGGCGCCGGGCCGCGGCGGGGGGGCTCTCCTGCCCCCGGCGGCCGGGCTGCCGACGACCCCGGCGGATGCGGCATCGCTCATGGCTCAGGTGGCCGCGCTGGACGTCGCCACCGGGCCGGGCCCCTCGCAGCGGAATGTCCAGAACCGGACGCAGGCATTCGTGATCATGATTGAGAACTGGCCGCACATCGCCAAGCTGCTGGAGCTCAGTTAATGCCCGTCGGCCATGGTGTGTATAATACACGCGCGCATAGAGAAAGAGACCGAGAGTCGCCCCCGGGACCAGCTCGCCGTTGGGGCGCGGGGAGGGGACCGGGCGCGGGCATATCGCGTGCCCCGCGCACGTGCTCCGAAGGGCGGATGATTGGGCTGCGGCGGTATTCGCGTGCCACTTTTCCCTGGTGGGTTTAGGGCCCTTGGGCGGGTTAGAGCGTGATGGGGCGGACGGAGGAAGGACACCTCTCAATGTGCGCGGAGGGGGGGGGGGGGGAAGGAGCGCGCCCTCTCCAGAAGGGGGGGCGGGCAGCCAGGTGGCCACTTCCCCTAGAGGGCCCCCGCGTATGGGTCGCTCGCCCGCAGCCCTGCGGGGCAGGCGCATGGTTTCTTACTTAACGGGAGCCCGGGGGGGGGGGGCGGGGGTGGCGGCCCAGGGACGGGCGCGTCAGATGGCGTTGGCCGCGTGCTGCGGGCCCCTCCTACGTGGCAACGGGGGATGCGCTCCCGTGGACGCGGTTGACCGCGCTCGTAGCTTGGGCGTTGGCGGCCACACACCACCGGGAGGGTCGCTCCCCGCCCAAGGCCCGGGCCCTGGGAGGGGATGCTTGCGCGCGTTCACGGGCCGCCGGAGGGACGGGGGCCACCATGGGCCGCCGGCGGGCAGAGTGATGCAACGGCGGGCCGCGGGCGGCCGGCGCCGGCC